GAGAGAGAGAGAGAGAGAGAGAGAGAGAGAGAGAGAGAGAGAGAGAGAGAGAGAGAGAAAGGCTGAGTTTTAACTAGATTCTTCCTCTCTGGTAAGTTACCAATGGAAGAAATTATAAGAATTGAATTCCAAGATGCCTTGGAGCACCAGGTTGAAGAAGATTGTCCCCGCTGTCTCTTGAAGAATGCCTGCTTGTTCCAGCCAGGAGCCAAGAACAGAAGAAACCGGGCAGAGCTATTGTTCCTTCTGGTTACATTCCTTTGTCCCAGCACATTCTCGATGCCAGAAAAAGAATACAATTGCTCCCATACTATAGAACTGGCAGAGAAGGGCGGGGGAAGTTCTTTCTTTGATTTTAAAGCCCCAAAGTGAAGGAAAGGAGAATAACAGGACTTCAGTTGTTTACATTTTGCTGAAATAATTGTTTATGCAATAGTGGTAGTGGCGGTCAGAGACTTTCCTTGTCCATTGGCTTTCCCATGCCAGGATTATTTTTAACTGTCCACTCCCTATTTGGGATTCTTAGACATAGCAAGTAGAGACATTCATGTCATGAACTGACGTCTATGGATGTACACTGGATGTCACTCTGTTCAACTCTGAAACTCCCTGGATGATTTTATGCCAATTACATTCCCGTAGCAGCTTAACCCACTTCACACAAGTGCTGTGAGATAGAAAAAACATACTCTGCGTTGGAGAACAAGACTTGACCGTCCGTTTGAACTAGCTAACAGAAAAGTGAGGTGTCATGAAATAGAACAATCAACCTTTCATCCACACAGTTTTCGAATGTCTAAGGTACTTGGGTCTCAAATAGACTAATGGGCAGAAATTCAACACAGGAAGTTTTTCGTGTGTTTGAGATATAGCAGTGAGTATTTTGCTATTGTCCTCTATTTCCTCTGGCACTCCATCTATAAAACAAGCTGGATTTCTGCATTCTATTTCTAGGTGGAATGTATCTAGCGAGGCAAGGAATTTCTGCCAAGTGTAAGTCCTGGTGCCATCTGCTGGAACATCCAATCTCCAGTAAGGATGTCTGGCTTCCTTAGATTTTTTGGCAGCTCAGGTGGAGGCTGACTGCATGGGTGGGGGCTTCCCAAGAGCAGGTTCCTATTGTTTATTAGGGCATTTGTTAATCTGTATGCCAAGCACTGGCTGGCTAGCGGAATGGGCCAGCTTGAATGTTATCATGGCTGGCAAGCAGGGAGGAATGTAAACATGGCAGAGGCTTTAAAGTGCCTCATCATGCTGACATCATAAAGAGAAGGCCATTCTATTCTTTGAAAGGCTAGGATAGAGGCTGCCAGGACCTCCAGGATACTTGGATATCATCCACGTCAACTTGTCACCAACAAATGTTTGAATGAAGACGATGCATTTGGAAGTTGGCCAAGAATAGACTTTCCTTCCCCTCCTTTCTCTCTCCCTGTGCAGGAAAAAAAGGGACACAACAGCTTTGTTCTCTTCCTCTCCACAACCCATTTCATGGGTATGAAACAGGTTATGGCACAGTGAACACATCTGAGATTCATTTTTCCCTTCATGTAGCCCAATCTCTCCCAGATTAAAAGAAAACCTGATTCAGACATAGGCTAGAACAGTGTTTTTCAACCTTGGCAACTTGAAGATGTCTGGACTTCAACTCCCAGAATTCCCCAGCCAGCGAACGCTGGCTGGGGAATTCTG